GAAAAGAGTTTAAAGGTGTTTGAAATTATGCGAAGCTTCTATAGCATTTTTTGAAACCTTGTCAACCATATTTAACTTTCATATCACAATTTGCATTCAGCTAATAATGCCTCATGGGAGACTTTAATCTCCTTACAATTAGTGTTTTTGAAAAGCCCGATTTGGGTGGATTTTTGAAAACGGCCCAATTAAGATTTTAGCCTTAATAATATTGTGTAAGTCTAAAAATTTGGCAAATAGAAGCCCAAACCTTTCTGCCATCTATGAGAAAAATCACCAGACTTACACAATATTATTTTGGCTATAATCATAATCGTTTTTTTAAATCGACCCGAACAGAGCTTTTTAACAACACTACCCACAATAAAAATCTGTCAAATTTTTTATTTATCAGGATATGAAATGATTCAGAAGAATTCTGCCGTAATAATATTTGCAGATTTGTAGGTTCTGCCTGATTAATCAAAAACCTTTCATTCAGTTGAGTCATAAATATCCAAGAGGGAGATAAAAAGATTTATTTATAGTATTATTCTACTGACCTTATATTAATGTTGGAATGATGCGCTTGACTTGCTGAGAGTCGAGGTGGACAAATATTAAATTCATAAAGCTCTGCTTTTGACTCAACAATTTCTATAATTTCCATATGTTTCAATATAATACTTTCAGCTATTCTCATAGTCTCTACCTAAACGGTGTCATTTTTTTGATAAATTTTACTTTAATTTTATAGTGAGAAAGTTTTAAATGATCTGGTGGAAAATTATTTGTGATAAATATAACGCTAAGGAAAACTTGAAATAGATATTAGATAGATAAATGTAAATAGTAAAATAGTAGGAATCAGTTATTTTTAAAAATATTTTAGCCCGCCTGAATTTTTTTGGCTTTGAGAGGAGAGAGTTGCCCCCCCCCCCCACAACATCATACTCGCATTCATTAAAGTTGTCATAGTTATATTTGTAAACAATTGTTATTCAAATTAAGCTAGCTTTAATTATTTACATTTTATATTTATAGTAAATAATTATATGCATTAATTTGAGTGATGTTTTTATTTATAAATTTTATTAATGGAGAATTATAAGATACATTTTTAGTTTGCAGGAAATTCAAAATGGAGTTATATTTTATTCGCTATATATTGTTTGTTATATAAAACTATTAAATTGGAGAATTATTGTTATCTATATATTTTCAAAATTTAATACTTATGAAATGGAATAGATGGAAACTACTCCAAAGTAGGGTCCTCCAACGTCTCGTCTAAGACTAAAGTTTTTGGGAAGTGTTCTATCCTTCAAAATGGACAGAAATGACGAAATAATATTTTTGCCATTTAATTACCATATCAAATGTTTTAAAAAGTGAAATTCTTTGCTAATTTTATAAAGAAATACATAAATATAAATAAAGTATATATTTTGATTTTTAAATATTCTATTTTCTATTGAAAAAAACGGACATTTGATATACATAAATGCATTAACCAAAAGCAGTCTTAAGAAAAACGAATCCTATTGTATATTGTTTATATTTATATTATAAGAAAATCAAATCATAATAATATCATATAAAAAAATTTTTCAGCATTAGCGTAATCAAAGGAGAGCGAAGAATCTCCCCACCCATCAAAGTCGGATCCGGGATTCTGATAAGTTTAAAGATGGATGCCGAGGGCAAGTACAAAATGTCATAACCCTTAGAAACAGTAGCATCACTGGAGGGAGAAGGGTTGGAGGTGAACTTAAAAATTCTAAAAATTTCAAGAGCTCCCTGAAAATTAAAAAACAATTTTTATGCCTATCTTAAATATAAAAAAATAAATTTATTAATTTTTAAGAAAAAAACATACGCTATTTTTAATGTTAAAAATAAAATAGTGTTCTAAATTATTTTTCGATTTTTTATATTTAGTACACAGCCTAAAAAAAGGTCAATTTGAAAATATTAGCTAACAAAAAGGTCATTTTGAAAATCTAAAAAACAAAGATAATTTGTAATGCTATTGCTGAGAAACCAGTGGATAGGGAAGGAGTAGAATTTACGAGTTTAATCAGTTTTGTAAAATACTATTATAAGTTAATAAATGGTGTGGCTAATTGACCAATCCTGAATTTTTATTTAAAAAGTTTGGGCCAATGAAATGTGAAAAAATCATATTCCTTTTTTTCTGTTGGATTCCTGGTTTTCCGGCAACCAATATAATCAGTCATTCCATATTTTAATATCTTTTTATACAAATATATATTATTATACAGAGACTACACGCAGCCCTGTCTAGAATATCTGAGTAGGCATGTGTTAACATAGACTTCTCTAGGATTTTAAGTTCCAGGACAAGGTAGAGTCAATAACATATTATATAGACTGACAATTTATTCATTTAAATACGTATCAGTCAAAATCCGATGGTGACATACCATTTTGGTTTCCCATATAAATATTTTATAAATTTTAAGAAAACTTTTTATAAAAATCTTTGTACGAGAAACAAATGGTATATTAACAGCTTATTTTTATTCAATGAAGGTTCCAAAATGCACCTTAAACGATCACACTATTTTGTTTAGTTACAGTTATTTAAAAACTACCAGAATATATAACTTTTATTTCTTTTAATTTTTAATATCAACCAATATTTACGTTAGATACAAAAAAAACTTTCATGAAATTTATGTATCGCGTATTCATACCATTTTCTATAACAATATAATTATTTATACATTAAATGATTATAAATTTAATATACATATTAAAATAATAAGATAATATTACTAAATTGTTTAAAAAAAATGCACATAGGCGTAGCCAGGATTTTCTTAAGGGGGGGGGGGGATTAAAAAATTGTTGGGGGCTTCGCCCCCAGACCCGATTTTGGACGGGCCTTTGGACCGTTTTTGCCCGGCCTTCGGCTGGGTTACCTAAGTCTATATATAGTCATAAAATATTTTTACAAGATAGGAGGTTTATTTTAATAAGCCTGGAACAAATATGAAATATATTTTTATTAGTTTATATAAAATATAATAAATTATTTGTATATACATTAATATAAGAGCATGGTAATAATTTATTCCAAACATAAGAAATTTATTTATAAAAAGTAAGTAGAAATATAGTTGATATTCCTCTATTATATAGAATTAGTTATAAAATACTAGGTAAAATTCCAATTTTACAGACATATTTGACAGTTAGAGATAATATTCAATGCTCTTGATAATAAATATAGCAACTATTTGCATTCTATTATTTAACGCCATCTATTTATTTTAAATAAAAAATGATATTAAAAATTATTCTTTATATTATTTATCCCACAATGTCTTTAAAAGATATTTTCTGATGTCCTTATCAATATTTTATAGTTTTCTGTAATATATAATTCGTTATATTGGTCAAAACTACTTGATTGTCATGATAATTGATAAAATTAGATATGCTGTAAATCTACGACATATAATATTCCACTGTTTGTTTTGTGCTTTAATTTTTTTTTATTTAATTTATGATTTAATTTACGATTTAATTTTTTCAATAGTTTTATAATTATATTATATTATATTCTATTTTATAATTATATTTTACTTTTATTAAGATAAATAAATTATAATTACTCACTTTAAAAAAATTATATTTGATATATTATATTATTTAGTAATTTTATAGATCTATTATTATTAATAATTCATTTCACTTTTGTCTTAAGACTTATCTTTGGCTTATATTCCATTTCTTAAAAAACATTTTTGGTTCACTTTTTTTTATATATAAATGCTTTTTCCAAAAATGTATAAATTATGATGAATAGTTTTATAAAAAAATATCAACTTTTACTTTCTTTTTTTCAAATTATTGTTTAAGATATTTGCATACATTTTTGGGGGTCAGGGAGTAGGAGGAGGACTAAGGGGGATATTTTTTATTAGCTTAAAATGATATTTACAAAAAGTGATAAATTTCTAAAGGAGGAGGGGGGGGGGTAATTTCCCCTTGCCCACCCCCTGGCTACGCCTATGAAAATACATATTTATATTTATCCGATTAAAAAATAATTCGTACCACAAAAATTATCTATTGGTGACATACTTTTCAAATATAAATAATTAATGTTTATTTATAAACAATGAAAATAATCTTATCTATAATTTTATAGATGATCTTATGTGTCTCATGTAGTTCCATTATTAACCCGTAATTATCCCGCTTAAATTAAATATTTTAGAAAGTATTATTTTTAAAAATTAACAAAAAAAAATTAAATTGATAAGTAAATTGGTTTTCCATAGAAGGAAAATAAATAAAAATTGATGATAATAAAAATAGCTAATTTCAAAAATTAGGATGACTGAATAAGATTTCACGTCACTCTAAACGATTTGTCACAAGCCAAATTAAGATCAACTCGCAAATCAAGCTCAATAAAATAAAGACATTGTTACGTTTGAATTCTCAAGTGGAAGAAATGTAAATTTGTGTTAAAGATCAAATTCAAAATTAAAATTATAATCCTCTTAATTTTAAACAATTATTAACGAATTAACATTTCTACAAGTATTTATTCAAAATTGTATTTTTGGAATTATCAATTAATCTCTTATACTTTGTAACTCGATTTAAATATTTTGTTATTATTTCTTATTCAAATTAATATCATAAAATAATATTATAAAAAACTAAAATTTATATAAAAAACTTCATAATGTAAAAAAATATTATAATAGGATCCTGATGGGGATAAATGATTATAATGTAAAAAATGATCTTAACGCAAGCTTATTATTTATTTAAAATAAAATAACAATTGAACAGAAAAAAGATTTAATGTATAAAATATACTAATATTGTAAAATAAAATATAGTATTATAGAACATAGTCATAATTTAAATCAAATTAATTAATATAAGTCAGATGGCTTCACGTCATTACTTCACATTAGCTATATTTTCTTTAACAAATTCTCATCACATCAGCTGGTGCCTAATATATTCATTCATTCATAATATTTTGGCTAAACTTTGGAAATGTATCCAGGTCAATTTAATAATTCAAATAACCAAAAGCCGCCTTATCCTGGTTTTAATACCATGCCATCTCCTTTTTCAGATTCAAATCCATCTAATATGAATGCATCAAGCAACCCTCCATATCCTACATCATCTAATTATCCATCAGTGAACAACCCTACTGATAATCAATATCCAACTAATAACCAATATCCAACAACTAATCAATATCAAGCTAATCAATCAACAAAAAATCCATATCCAGCAAATAACTCATACCCATCAAATAATCCATATCCAACAAATAATCCATATCCAACAAATAATTCATATCCAACAAATAATCCATATCAGAATCAAAGAGCTCAGAATATTTCAGGAGATTCTTTATATATGAATAATCCTAGTTTGCAACAATATGCTAATCAAAATAAATCAAGTTATAATCCACCTCTCCTTCCTCAACACAATGATCCATATCAAAATATAAATTCAAGATATGGTCAAAATGAATCTAATCTAACTTCTTATGATCAATCCATCTATAATCAAAAGCCATCAAGTTTTGGGAGTAGTAATCCAAGTCAAATAAATGTATTTTAGTTTCTTATCTTAAATTTTGTTATAATTAAAATTTCTTAAAAAAATTTGTTATTTCTTATATTTAAAAATTGATTAGCTGAGATAATTACAATCATTTTATATAAGCAAGGTTGAAAGTTTGTGGTAACAGAATTAATAAAATATTACAACTTATTGATTACATAAAATTTTTATTAAAATTTAAAAACTAATCTCCAATACAAAATAGTAATCCAAATTATTCATGCTGAATTTGTTGGGGCGGGGGGATTTACCACAAGTCTTGACCCATTAATGGTCAAGGTTAAAACATACTAAAATTTAATTTTTTCATGAATATTATATATTTTTGTATAAATAATATAACAAAAAATGTTAAATTGGCTTTTTTGAGATAATTCTTAAAACTTATTTAAAAAAACTTTTTCAATTTTTATTTAAAAAAGAATTATATCTTCTAATTAGATTTAAGTAATAGAAAAATGATAAAAATATAAAATTTTAAGCATTGGGGGAAGGGGGGCTTGCAAATTTGTAATTATTTTACATATAACTTTTTATTTTGCTATATTTTATAAAAAAAAATCAGTCCATTCTTTTCTATCAAATTATCACATAGTAGCACTTGGGATATTTATTTCCTTAATTTTATTATAGCTAATTCCTAATTATCTATTATTTCTGCTAGATTTGGAAATGGAGAGTGGGGCAGGGTAATAATTTTGTTAACCAAATTTCTTGCATTTTTTTCGAAACGTAAGCTCAAGAATTTTTTAGATAGTTAAAGTTCCATCCATATTTAAATTTTTAAAATTAAAGTTAATCCATAAAATAAAATTTATACAAAAATATCCTTATCTGGGTTTGTTTGGTTTTCACATCATCTCATAAGATATCATATATTGTAAAATATATGTATATTTTTTATAATTTATTTAAAAAAAATAATAGTTATTTTAAGAATACAATATATTATTGGACATATATAACAAAAAATATGAAAATTAAGTTTTTATAAACGCCATAAATACACCAAACACCAATAATAGGCTATGGTCAACAAAATTATGAAATAAATACTAATATATCTGATATTTAATTTATTGACAATTTTTAATAGTTATCATCAATGTGGCCTATAAAACCAATGCAAATACAAATAATGAGCATCCTTAGTATTTATGAAATTTAAACACTTAAGTCACTTAGATCTCTGAATTAAAACCACAGCCAAAAATGTAAAAAGTAACCCTTTTATGATTTAATTAAAAATGAAATGCAAAACCATTGCTCATGGGGTAGTAGGGGGGGGGGGTAAAAATTATTTTCTTTTTATGTTTTGTTTTACTCTATTTTTAATTATGATGAACATTTAAAAAGTTCAGACAGGCAAAATTTCTTAAAATATAAATAATAAAGGAAGATAAAATAAACAATTAATCAGTTTCAATATAATTTTATAGTGTTTGCATTAAGTTATATAAATTTTTTAATAATTATTATATAAAAAACTAGGTGTTGTATTTGACTGATAGTAAATTGAATAATATTTAATTATTCAAGTTCAAGGATTTCTTTTTGTGACTATATTAACTCTATTTGGGTTAATGAAAAAATATTTTATTAATAAATGAAATATAATTATTAGATTCTTTGATATTTTGATAGATTTATTCTAGAAATAATGTTTTACCTTTGGCCAAGTTTTTTGGATTCAAATGAGTTATTATTTACTTTTATATATTTATATTTTATCATAAGTTATAACTAACCATATTCATTTTTAAATTGATTCTGGTTATTTTTATAAATATTATCAATAACCAAAAATGGATAAGTTCTTTTTGTAAAGAAATTTAAATTACAAGGATTACTATGACATTTGCAAAGTGTGCAAAGTCCCTTCAACCAGCTTGATGCCAACATCTGATTAAGGTTAAAAAATTATACCACATTCCACATATTCCTTTACATTGAAGAGTATATATCAAATGGTTTAAATATAAGCACTCTGCAGAAATCCTAGTTATATATTACAAACTTCATCAAGTCATTATTTATAAGAAAATGGCCTTAATTAATACTTGAGATAAATAGGTAGCATTGTTGGCAGTTATATTGAGATTTTTTTTTAAAACTTACTTTAAACACTTTAATCTTTTCTTCTGGTCAAGAAGATATTGAATCATAGTACAATTAAATAGTATGCTGTTATAAAGATGGCTCTTATTCATGAGAATCAAAGTACAGTTATCTTCTATTCATAACAATGACACCATTGATATATATTTAAAATTTTTTATCCAAAATTGTTCAATGTCTAAGATATTATCACCTATTTACAGTATTTTATACTAGACTATTTTTTTTTGATTCCAGATTAGCCAGAGTTGGTTATGATGGAATAAAAATTGAGTTGTCGGATGTAAGTAAGTATACTTAGAAAAAAATTATCTCTTAGGTTAAGTCGATGGTTGTCATTTTGATTCTGTTTTGGTCAGCTTTGAAATACTATAAATATCAGTATCTTTTTGGGATTAGTGGTCAGATTCTTTTAAGGTCTATTTAATAAAACAGGCACACAGTACTTATATTATATTTCATTCTATCAAAGAGCTTTATGATAATTATGTGATACATAATCACAACCTCAAAATTAGAACCAAAAAATAAAATATATCCCTTTCCACACATAAATGGTAAAAAAGTTTGGCCTTCTTTTGAACAAATAACGAGGTTGATATTTTTTTAACCAAAATTTTGAATTTAATTTTTCGTCAATACTATACACAAAAGTATTTAAGAGCATTTGGCCATATTTCTCAGGTCAAATATACTTTCAATCAATTGTCCCACTTACCAACCCTGTATATATGTAAGACTGTAGGCTGGCCCGAGAAAATGCCCACACTGGGCCTAAAAATTTTTAAAAATATATCTTGGTCGAATATTTAAAATCGCCATTATCTATAAAAATTGAAAATAAATATAAATTCGACCCGAAATGAAATAAAACCCGGGCTGAAAAATTAAAAAAAGCGGGCCTGGTCAAAATGTTTTTTAAAAAATCCGGGCGAGGGCATGCATATGGTACATCTCCAGGTCTCTGATAATATATGTAATATTTAATAAAAAAAATGTTTTTACTTTTTAATGATATATTTTTTTTGCTTTGCTTTATTATTTTTACAATTTTTTTTTAAAAAATCATTTTATATATTTACTCATTTTGTTATTTACATTCTATTCCATTATTTATATTTAAATTAAAATAATAATAAAAAAATATTTACAATAGATAATTATAAATTTTATGAATCATTTTATTTATTATTTTTAAATTTTTATTCCTTTCAAATTAAGATTTTAATTAGAACTAATTTATCCGTCAACTATACCTAGTATTATATTAGATAATTCTACTTTATCATCCCATGAGTGTAAGTATAATAAAGTTTCGGCAATAATATAATTTAAATTTATCCATTTTTTTTAATATTCTAATAATTATTAATATCTGTTATTATTTAATTATCTTGCCTTAAGGATTTCATTCATAATTTTTATTAATCTTTGATTTAATTTACTAATTTTAATATATAACTGTATGTCTCATAATTTTTATTAAAAATTTTATTTTCTGGTTTTGGTTCGTTTGTTATACAAATTAGAGACTCGCGAACCGTAGCTCGGTCCGAAACCGGCGGTAAAATATCAAATTTAAAAATTCCGGCGGGGCTAGAAATAATTTCTAAAAATCCGGACCGGGCTTGAAAATGAAATTTTTTGACAGATGTTCTGAATTCTAAAAAGACGAACTATGACGCAGCCTTACCAAAAGATAATATGTAAAATGGTTTTTAGTAAATTTTTTACACATTTAGATTCTAACCTAAAACGCTTTAAAATTTTTAATTTTTTTAAAATATCAGTTTTGGACAGGAAAAAAATTTATGGGTAATAGAACAACACTATTGCAAACCATTTTTTGAGAATAGTTTGAAATCGATGCTCAATCTTCTTTACTCTCCAACGGGAAAAAGCAAAATTTTTAAACAACTTGGTCTTATACTAGACAAAATTTTTGGATAGTAGAACCATTGGGGGCAGTTTAAATTTGTTGTCAATTTTTTTTACTCCGCAAGAAAAAATTAATTTTTTAAGCAACTTGGGTTTAATATAAAGTTTTGGGTAGTAGATGATTATTACATAACCATTATTTGAAATGAATTGTTAAGCAATTTTCCTTGCTCCACGAGGGAAGAAAATTTAATTTTTTTACAATCTAAACACTTCGCTAATTAAAAATTTGGATTTTTTCTTCAATTGATACAAAAAAAAAGTAAAGCAAAATTTAAAACTGTTTATTAATTATTTTCAAAACATTGTTTGAAAAAATTGTAATAAAATGCGCGCAAGGTCTTAATTGCTCTCACTTATAAGTGTAAACAAATTGTTATTATTAAAAAAATATTCGTTTTCATAAATTATTAAAATTGGGGAAAAGCTCACCTTTTCATATATAAAATATTGATTTTTAAAATCAATTTATTTTAATTAAACATTTCCTTTCCTCATTTTCTTAATTAATTGTAATGAAACAATTTATACAAGGTATTCCATTCAAAAAAAAGAAAAGTGCCAATCATAAAAGGAAAAGGTCCGATCAAAAAAAGGAAAAGGTTCAATCAAAAAGTGAAAAATGTCAATAAAAATACGAAAAAAGAAAAAGTTTCAATAAAAAGCTCACCCTTTTCATGTTTCAATTCAATAATATATATAAAAAAATAGAAAATATACAATTTATAAATTTGTTACTCTGAATCAATGTATTGTACATGTAGCCTTTTGGCCTTTTCATAACATTATATGCAAATAATAAATAACGAATCTAATAAATAAATAAATAAAAAATTCATCATTAAAACAATTTTATCTCTTTGGATAGAAGGTTTGGGATTGAGAATTCTATAAATGAAAATTCAAAATTTTATATCATAAATATTATTCTTACCATGTTTTTAATAATGAAAAATTACTTAGGATTTTGCACCAACAATCCATGATTATCCTAATTTCGACCCAAGATCAGATGCCGAAGCACTTAGGAAGGCAATGAAAGGATTGGGTATGATTATCTTTTCAATTATTATCACCTTTAACTATTTTAAAATTAATCAATATATGTTACGAACATAGATTATTTATATGATAAAAGTTTCTCAAGGAAGGTAAATCGCTCTGAAGTCCCACCTTCCAATCAGAGAGAAATACACATATAAATGCAATCAGGGTTGACACTTTTTATTCAGCTTATAGAGATCATCAATATATAAAACGATTTTGATAAGATTATAATTTATAATCTTTTTAAATTGCATCGGCTGGAATCGAGCCGGTAAGTGGTAATGATAAGCTTATGGCCACTTTTCGAGTTCGCCATAGTTCATTTACTTTAAATAAAAATATAAAATTATTTTAATCACGAAAATTTTTATTTTACGGCTAATTATTTCTTTTTTAAAGAAAATAATTTATATTGTTAATTTATTTTAACTTTATAATCATGTTTTGCTAAATGATAATTTACCAATTAAATTGGTATTACAAACAAATTATATATATGTATATAAAAGGCGCTACATAATTTAATAATGTAATAGTTATCCTTTTAAAGTATTATTTTTTGAATCTCACGAGAAGTTATTTTTTGAATCTCACAATAAATTATATTAAAAGAATACACCAACCAAAGTATATAAAAACAATATATTTCTACAATAAATTATTGTTAGTTAGCCTAATTATGATAGAGGAGAATGCTTCTTATAAAATAGTTATGCTTGATGAAGTTGACAAAATTTCTTCACAAAAAAGAGCTATTGGGATCAATATGAAATCAATTAAACGGTGAAAATGTTTGCAATCATTGTAAAAACATTATAAAATGTAAAGGCAAAACAGCATCCCTTATTATTAATATAACACTAGGTTCAATTCACACCTCATTAAAAAGTGTAATAAAATTGACATTTTTTTAAAGTCTACAATACCATTTTCTTTACCTAAAAAAAATAATTTTAAAGATAACTTGCTAAAGTTATTTATAAATAATAATATACCTTGTAAAACTGTTAATACAAAAGATTTTATAAGTGATCTTGATTGTTCTGTAAAATCAATATTCTCCAATACTCCCAAATTGCATATGTCAGATTAATTTTTCATTTGAGATTTGGACTAGACATCACAGACTCTTTTTTTAGAGCTAACAACCCATTTTATTGATAATAATTTTAAAGTAAATAACATAATTTAAGATGTTGCTTCAATAAATGAAGCATATTCAGGTGAAAATATTTAAAGCCTTTGTTAAATAATTAAGAATTTTAATTTGTATTCATATTAAGTTTAATGGAATCGTTTTAAATGTTTTTGGACATTGGATATTAAATAAGTTATTCATTATTCCTGCCCGTGAAATTGTTTTGCAGATAGCGCATTTAGCAAAATTATCTTTATCTTTTGTAAAACATTGTTCCAAAAGTAAATAATAAATCATCCATAATTTCTTAAAACATCTCCTGACCATCCTTATTTTGTATTACGTTAAGATATACCTATTCAAAAACGAATTCGAATCGAATAGTGCATTATTCGTATTCGTACGAATAATAAAATCTACTATTTATATTCGAAATTATTCGAATAATTGTAATGAATACAAATTTTTTAATGCAAATTATCTCTTTGTCTCCGTCTTAGTTATCTTTATGTATCACCCCCGTAAAAGAGGATTGGAATGATAGAAGAGTTGAAAATTCTTAGCCTAGTGAACACCGATAACTCCCTAGTTCTCCATAGCTTAAAATATTTGTAGAAAGCAGCTCTAGCATTCTGAATTCTGAATCTCAGTTCATCTTTACAACTGCCTTTATTGTCGATGTTCACTCCAAGATATTTATAGGAAGACACTACTTTAACAACTTTTCCTATAACTAACCAATCTCCCAGAGGGGGAGCATGAGACGATGGCATGATTACAGTCTTATCAAAGTTAATATCTAATCCAACCTTAAGACTTAAAGTGTTTAGTATCAAGACCAAATTGTTAGCCTCCTCCAAGTTTTTTGCAATCAAGACCAAGTCATCAGCATAACTAATCGCCCTGTTATCCAAAGCCACGGCTGATTGGATCCAAGTTCTAGTAGATTGGCTGCCCCTAATGTATCAGTAATTACTCTATTCATTACTATATTGAACAGTAGTGGAGAGGCGACACAGCCTTGCTTAACTCCTTTTTTTGTCCTGAAAGGAGGTGAAACTTTATTTAAGATTTTAAATGAAGCCATGAGATTACTATAATGCATCCCTAAAATCTTGATAATATTGGCTTCTATATCGCATCTCGCTAGGATAGCCCACAAGGTATCATGAGTGATGCTGTCGAAAGCGCGTTTGAAATCAATGAATATAAAATAAAAAGGTAATTTATATTTTTCACACTTTTGTACAATTATCTTCAGCGCTAAGATTGGTTCGTTTTCTATTTGGGCGATATGCACAAATGTATTTGGATAATAGGTTAGGGGAGGATGCTAGGATTCGGTTTTTTAAAAGGATCATAAAGACTTTTGATACTATGGAGGTAAGGGCAATCTCTCTATAATCTTTGAATTTAGCAGGGCTTTAGTTATTTCTGTCACAGTAAAGTTTGCGTCAGGTGGTTCTATGTGGTGACTAGATGGGAATAAGGATGGCCTCCTGGAATCAAAGATTTTCATATAATGATCCAACCAAAGGGCGATCTGTTCATCTGGGTCTGTAATCAGGAAGTTATTGTCTAGTTTGATAGACGGGAGAGGTTTAAACACTTTAGCGCTACAGAAGTGTTTAAGCTTTTTATAAACATCAAAGGTCCTGTTGTCTTTCATGTCTCTATCGATCTCAAATGCTTTTTTTGGAATGTAGATCCTTCTATCTTTCCTAATAAGCCTATGAATCGTAGTCCAAAGGTTACCATCCCGTCTTTCACTTGACTTTAGTTCCGCTATCATCAGAATGGTGTCTTCGGATAGCCACTCATGTCTCTGGAAGGACCTGTTAATGCTTGGGAGATCGTTGCAAGCTCCAAATAAAATATTTTTAAAGGGCAACCAACATTTTTCCGTGGATTCTGAATCCGTTGAACCATGATTTAACCCCATCCTAGCTCTTAAGTTTTGGACTATGAACACTTTAGATTCCTTGCTTTTATTATCCAGGGGGGATGACTAGTTTGATTTGAGATGGCTAGTCGTCTAGAGTTACCCCATAAATTTCTTATGGTGATACTTCCTCTGACTAGCTTATGATCAGAAATATTAATGTTTAGCAAGGCCCTAACATCGGTAAACCAGCCATGAATGTTGGAAATAAAAAAATCGATTTGAGAGGTGATATTATATCTCCTATAGATTAATGTGTTTCTTTCACTATGGAGAAAAACCCTACTAAATTCAAAGATTATAGAGCGATTGCCCTTACCTCCATAGTATCAAAAGTTTTTATGATCCTTTTAAAAAACCGAATCCTAGCATCCTCCCCTAACCTATTATCCAAATACATTTGTGCATATCGCCCAAACAGAAATATAAACGAACCAATCTTGGCGCTGAAGATAATTGTACAAAAGTGTGAAAAATATAAATTACCTTTTTATTTTATATTCATTGATTCCAAACGCCCTTTCGACAGCATCACTCATGATACCTTGTGGGCTATCCTAGCGAGATGCGATATATAAGCCAATATTATCAAGATTTTAGGGATGCATTATAGTTATCTCATGGCTTCATTTAAAATCTTAAATAAGTTTCACCTCCTTTCAGGACAAAAAAAGGAGTTAAGCAAGGCTGTGTCGCATCTCCACTACTGTTCAATATAGTAATGAATAGAGTAATTACTGATACATTAGGGGCAGCCAATCTTCTAGAACTTGGATCCAAGCAGCCGTGGTTTTTGGATAACAGGGCGATTAGTTATACTGATGACTTGGTCTTGATTGCAAAAAACTTGGAGGAAGCGAACAATTTGGTCTTGATACTAAACACTTTTAGTCTTAAGGTTGGATTAGATATTAACTTTGATAAGACTGTAATCATGCCATAGTCTCATGCTCCCCCTCTGGGAGATTGGTTAGTCGGAGGAAAAGTTGTCAAAGTAGTGTCTTCCTATAAATATCTTGGAATGAACATCGACAATAAAGGCAGTTGTAAAGATGAACTGAGATTCCGAATTCAGCATGCTAGAGCTGCTTTCTACAAATATTTTAAGCTATGGAGAAATAGGGAGATATCGGTGTTCACTATGCTAAGAATATTGAACTCTTCTATCATTCCAATCCTCCTTTACGGGGGTGATACATGGGAGATAACTAATACGGAGACAAAGAGATTGCAAACGTTTGTTAATAAATGCTTAAGAATAATCAATGGCGTCTTTTACCCCAACATCATTTCGAACGACAACCTTGGAGAAGGTCTAAACATACTCCGGTACATGTAACTCTAAAGAAAAAGCGTATAACCTTCTTCGCGCATATTCTGAGGAATCATACCAATAACAGCCTAGTCCTTGATGCCATAAATTGGCTATACTCCTTCAACGGCAAATCCTATGGAAAGTTTAAAAGATTATGGTACTATAGGGCAATGAAAGACATCATGGATATGAACTTAAACACTAAACAGTTTCTAAGGCTAAATAAGAATAAGAGATCAATAAAGAAACTGCTTAAATCAAATCAAATTTATTAAATCTCCCATAAACCTCTCCTAAAAACAGGTTATTTTACTATATCTTTTTATCTCCTCTTCTCCTTGTCTACTTTTCTTTTTCTTCTCAATCTTACTTCTTCTTTTCATAACCTACTCTACATTTCTCACCATGCTTTTATGATTAATTTAGGTCCTTCCTCTGCCTTTAAAGTAAATAAATTTATAAGCATTTTACTGGGTGTGGGCTGTGCTTATTTTTGGTCCATTCCTCTGCAGCCCACAGACGTTTAAGTAATAGTCTTAGAACTATTACGCGTACAAGTACGTGCCGCTTGCCCACAAACGTGTGAAGGGCTCCTCATTAATAATC